GGTTTATGGATAATGAACAAGTGTGTGTGAATGACTTACACAGCATTTCTCAAAAATAATCACACTCTTATCACCACTCTCATGCACAAAAACTTTCCCTTTCACTTGTAAGAGCTCCCTTTTCAAGGTCCCCACAAATTGTCATTGTTGAACCTTCGACAAAGCAAACTTCTCATTCATACAGACACCATTAAAAGTTTTCATAATATGAGGATGATGAGTTGTCAAGCTCCAGCAAATTTTCTCTGAAGGACACTATTTACCAAAACTAAGGTGGTTTGGGGAAAAAAAAGCAACAACAACAAAAAAAAACCTAGTGTGCATGAACACACACCATACATGACCACAGAAGTGTTCAGAGAGCTGAGGTAAGGACTGAAGGCAGACCATTACATCTTCCCTACCAAATTCTGGAGCGAGTTTCTCAATAGCCTTGCAATTTTAGGGGAAGACAGAGTTTAGGCTCTAAGAGTGAAGATAGAAGATTGCCACTATTTGCAGAACCTCATCTCAATAGAAGCTGTTTGACTTTGATAGAAAGAAAACGAAGCACGTTTTTCACAGTGCAACTCTCAAAACCCATCTTTGTGACAGTTGTTGCACCACTTTAAGGGCAATAAACAGGCTTTCAAATAATGAAAGCTTTAATATCAAGAAGCATTGTTACAAGAAATAAAAAAGCCAATCAAACAGACGTCTTCTTTTCTATTTACTATGCATTTTTTTGCATTTCCAAGTGATATTTTGTTCCCTGTTTCAGGGCACAAAATAGGGGTGTGTCTACCTTACCGAATTTTTCTCACATCTCCCTCATCGCTGTGTAAAATTTCTCACTGAAAGGGGACAAAATGTGTCCAGATTCTTCCACACAACATCATGCTTTAAAAGGACAGCAGACATTTATGTGTTTGCTCAGGAGCTTTCAGTCAAATAGGATGTGACTGCCAGAGCAGATAACAGCCATCTTGCTTGTCCCAACATGACATGAGCATGACAGGATGGGGGCTGGCGGTTCGGGGAGGTAGAGGGAATCCAGAAAACCATTCCTAAAAGAAAGGAAGAAGTAATTAGTAAATGTCATTTGAGAAGAGTATGGCAAATTAGAAGCTCAATGGATCATTAAGCCCATGGACTGGAGCCTTTTCATTGGTGGTTTGGGGAAAGACACAAGATCAGGCTCTGGTTGCACTATGAACTGTGACAAAAAATCATCACTTCAAACTCAATCACCATCCATTTCTGGTTGCTGTGTGTGTGAAATAAGTGTCATAAGAAAACAAACAACGCTTCTGTTCATTTATCTGGGCTTGAAAAGCAACCCAATCCTGATCTGTAGTTTAGATGCGGCTTCATGATATGCAGAATAATCTGTAGTGACATTAATTTATAGATATATCCTCCAATTTTCACATATTTGCCAACCAAAAATAGAGCCTGATTGTGAAACAAAAGTAAAATGATTAATGGATTCTTTTTTTTTTTTTACTTAAGTGTGTCATTCATTTATCTTTAGCCTAGTTTCATTACATTACACACCAGAGTACACATGTTTGAAATTAAATTTCACTATAAATACGTCTACTTAGAGATTTTTAAGGAAAATCAGTTACATAGACCAAGTAACAAAGCAGACAGGTCAGGGAGAATGTCCAAACCAGAGTTAGGTTGTAGAACAACCCAGTCTTTGGATATATCACAAATTACTGTTAAAATTGTCATCTGAAAATTCAGAGATAACTTCACTTTTTTGCAAACACAGGTGATACACTAATACAGGTTTATTTTTATGAACAAACCTGTACCGAACAGAAAGAATTTTGTCTTTAATCTCAGAATTCTGACTTTGTTCTCAGAATTCTGAGATCAAAGTCAAAATAGAATTATGAGATTAAAATCTGAATTCTTGTTTGTCTGTGGCCCTACTCCTCTTTTCTAATTTCTGGAGTTGCAAAACTGGTTGGAAAGTAATTCAAAAGACTGAAAGGTGGTTTTATAAAGTATTCCCTCAGGAAGGCAGAGCTCAAAAGGACACAACACATAATAAAACCCTCCAAAATGTTTTGAAGTTAGTGATTGCAATGTGACAAAATTTAAAAGAGTTTTAGGGGATTACTTTTGTCTGATTGCAATTACATCAATGTGCTTGTTCAGTTTTCAGTGTTTGCCCTTCTTTTGAAGAGGCTTCTGCTCAGGTAATTTGCTTTAATGATATTTGGGACACTATCCAACTCTTTTATGGTGGGAGCTTTACATTTGTAGATCAAATGTAAAACAGTGTGACACACTGTCGCATCAGAGAAAAAATGTCAAGGTTCAAATTTTGACATCATACATTTTGCTTTGAGTTTGCATGTTCCCTCTCATATCTGCATGTTTTTTGTTTTGTTTTTTCTAAGTCCTCCTGCTTCTTCCCACAGCCAGGAAATAGAGGGATTCTAAATAGACCTTAGTGTTTCCTTTTCGAAATTGCGTCATGTCTTCACTGCGGTTAAAATTAGTTTCACGAGGGAGAGTCAGATGAGGAGATTTCATTTTTACTGTCTCACTCCAGTTACCTAATTTCACAAAACCACAATTTAAACATATTCTCAGCAATTGTTTTGAAAACATATGAAAGCTCCCTCTATATAGACCCTCCTCTGCAACACTTCCCTTCAGAGCTGTGAAATATCTGCTTGATAAAACCATCTGGAGCAAAACAAAGTAGAATCACATCAAAATCCATATAAATTTATAGAAGCAACAAGTCTCATTTTCAGGAACATCATTACTAGGAAACAAGTCCACCCTACATAGCAGGGTGGACTATGTTTAGTCCAACACCACAGTCTTGATGCCGGTCAGCTTCCACTACACTCAAAAACAATACATTTACTGTTAGCAGGTTCTGACGTCTATGCAAATTTACTCGGAAATGTGAAAAAGGATTATTTACTTTGAACACTGGATCAGTTTATGAGCCAACTGACATCTCCTTATCATGAATTTCAGTCAGAATTTCACGTCACTCTGTCCCTCTTTTACATATTTAAGTGAAGAAAACTAAAAGTATTTTGTAGAAGAAATGTTGTATAAACTGGAAGGAGGTCAAACTACCAGTCATAAAAGTTTAAGTAAACTTAGTTAATTTTTTTCCTGCTCTACAAGAGCAATGCAGCAGGAGTAGATTTACCTTTCAAATTTAAGCTTTCAAAAACAGAGAAAACATTTTATTGTGCAGCTCTTGAGTCATGGAACCACACAATTCTGTATTTTCTACTTTATATCATAGCACTGCAGGACAATAAAAATATGAAGGTGGGCTAAAGTTTCAAATCAATCAGTATTACTGATATTCATTGTGCTAACACACCAGTGCTTTATCACTGCTGTGTCTTCAGTAATTTTAAAAGATATACATTCGGTGGAATAAACAATAATTGTCTCTGAAAGCAACAATAAAAGAGGAGATTCTTGATTATCACTTGTATCTGTCCAGCCTTATTCGATTAGAAATACTGTTTTACTTGTTAGTACCATCCTCTGAGGAAAGGTTGTTCTAGGATACAAATTATAAATCATTTAGATTATGATGAAAATGTGGTGCTTTTACAATAATGGCTCCAAAGGTAAACAATGAAACAACAAAAGTTTCAAATATTGCCTCTTAAACAAACAGTAACTGAAACGAGTGAAACAATTAGGCATGTCAGAGGGTTGGACTAATAATAAAAATGAAATACATATTTTTGTTTTGCTATTTTTTCTTCTTCTATTTATTTATTTATTTATTTATTTTTATTCATTTACTATTATTAGATAAGAGGTTAGTTTCACACTTGACACTCTTAAATTGCCCCTTACGGGATGAAACTTTATTGAATGTATTTTACAGGAGTCCAGTTAAATGTGCCGACTGTTTGCTTGATCTTTTTCCTGAGCTCTAGTAAATGTTTCATTGAGATAGCCATAAAAACATATGTAATTGCATTCAAACAGACTGATTGTGTAGCTCTTATTAAGGCAGCAGATTCACTGCTGCAAGATGAACTAGAGCCCACGATAATCCTCTTTAATGGACGGGAATTAAAAAGTAACAAATCTGATGATTTCTTTTTAATCCGTCCACTGTGTACCATTGTTCTTTTTGTTTACTTTTGCCCGGTTGCAGTTTCATGCTCCTCTGCTGTGCAAAGCATGAGCATCCCACTTTACTGTTATTAACCTTTCCTTTATGCCACAACCTCAAACTTCAATATATTTTATATTGTAGGAGAGAACAGCATAAAGTGGTGCAAATTTATGAAGTTAGAGACTATTTCATTTTATTCAGGTGTGTTAAACCAGGTAAATATGGTTTGCAGACTCTGGACACGACTGGCTTAATCTTACTACTCAGTAGCCACCGCAGCTTTGTAAATATCTTGTTTATATTGCCCAAGTCTGTTTATGTAAAGGGCATAAAGCTGTAAAGTATTACTATACAATAGTAATGCTTGTACTCCATAGAGGCAGGGAGGAGAACCATGAGCTCCTTTTTCTTTTTCACTACAACCATGGGAGTAAAAATTGGTTAATTATTGACTTACAGTTTGTATAAAAGTGACTCCAGCTTAGATAAAACCAGTGGAACTTATTAAATTAGAAATTAGTGATTATATCAACATATGTTAGGGGTGAGAAAGGGGTGACAGCATTTTCTAAGCCCAGGTGTGTGAAGCACTTTCAGTTCTGAGTGTATAAACACATTTAGAAAATAATGGAAAATGATAACATCAGAAACAAGTTTATTTAGTCACTAAAGTTGCATAATTGTTTATGTAAAGAATTTTACAATTACTTTCATAAATCTCAGGGTCAGAGAGGTAGCACAACTTTACGTTCTGACAATTTCTAACTTAAATTTTTGTTTCAGATTCAACAGCCCACCAGACGGACGACCCTCTCCAAGGTCCTGAAATTTGCTTTCCCAAGCATGCGTCATGTGACTGCCGAGCTCAGCACCGAGCTTACTGGTTTCTGGAGATTTCACGTGAGAAACGGACCTCAAGCCCCCCTTTTCTCTCATCCTGCGTCTGCGGCAGTTTTTAAAGGCTCTATTCTGCTCTTTTTCACCCCCCTCTTTTCCCCCTCCCCACCCTATTTCACACGGATTATGAGGACGTTCAACGCACTGGGAGTACGACAAAAGATTTTAGCATGTTGGACTGCTGCTTGCGGTTCTGCAACTATAGTTTTTAATTAAATCCCAACGCGGTGAATGCGTCGGACGGAGTGGACGAGCCCGCTGCTGGAGGTCCGCATTGAGAAAGTCATCATCTTCTCTTTGGTTTTTTATTTTCCACTTCAGAAGGATGTAACGACCGACCTGCCGTGTGCAGGCTGAAGCGTCTCCCATCAAAATGCAAAAGGGAATACGACTCAACGATGGTCATGTCACCTATCTGGGGCTTTTGGCGAAGAAGGATGGTACAAGGCGAGGGTGCTTAAGCAAAAAGAGCTCGGACAACACGAAATGGCACTCAAAGTGGTTTGCTTTGTTGCAGAACATGTTATTTTATTTTGAGAACGAGTCCAGCTCTCGGCCGTCGGGATTATACTTGTTGGAGGGGTGCTTATGCGACAGGGCGCCTTCACCAAAACCTTCTCTGTCAGCCAAGGAGTGCTTGGAAAAGCAGGTAAGGAGAGAAGCAGAGAGAGAGAGTGAGCGCGCGCGTACACAGGCAGGGACACACACACACACGCATACACGCACACACATCATGCGCGCGCACATGCACACGCATTCGATCCTCTTCCTATGTGCAAAAAATACTGAGAAGGTGCAGCACGGAATATAAAATGTGCTCCGTTGCGCCAAAAATGTCAATTTTCCTGCAATATGCACGCATTTTTCTCATATGATTCCGCAAGAGGATCTCAAATCCAATGCAGTAGAAAAACGTCAAGTTTCAGATTGCTTTGTTGCACGTTATGTAATTCATGCACGGCTTTAATGATGAGGTAAGAATAAAAATAACACCTAATGGTGTTACAGGAGTCCTGGTGGCGAGCAATGCAGCGTCTTTTGTTTCGCAGCAAAACCTGCTTTCTTCTCTCCTCTTGCTTTTCTAAGCATTTGGCACTTTTCACTGATGCGTAAAATGTAAATATATTTATGGAACTGGCGCGGGGGTAAAGACATTTGAGCACATTAAACACATAAATGGTTTTCGAAAATTAGCCGTCGCGTATTCCACGTTTAAGGGTGGAGAAGTTGGAGCCTACCAAATGGCTTATGAATAAAACAAGCACAAATAATGAGAATTTTAGAAAAAAGTTACGGTTTCAAGGTTTCCACCTTGTGGCGAAATCATACAGTTGCCGTTCAGCTCCCTCTGATCTGGATTACCTGAATCAAATAATTGAGTGTGGAGAGATCTAATGGGAGGAATTCACAGCCTACAGGTCAGTGGCAATCAGGAGTATGTCTGAAAATTTGTTACCAAACTATAAGTATCATAATTTGTACATTAAACCACTGTAAATCAAGCTTCACTCCACTTAATTTCCTCTGCCAGCACAACATTTTGAAAATTAAAGCTTGAAATGGCTCTCAATGCTGTTATTGTGAACAGAGTAACTGAACATGATGCTCCTCAGAGAGCTTCTCCCCTGCTCTGTAGATAGGTCTGCTGAGGCCAGACTCTCACTGCGAACAGCTGCCCCTCTGCTGACAAAGCAGAACGCAGCACACGCTCTCAGAGTTGCTCGAAAGGCAACCAAAACACCTATCTGGAACCCATTTCTCCTGAAACCTGCTGTTTTGTTTCTTCATGGAAATCCACACATGTCTGCATCCTGCAGAAACATTTCTGCATGTTTGGAGAGATGGACAAATAGAACAGATTCACAAAGCTGATTTTCACAAACATTAATGAAACAAATTGAACAGAAACATCTCATTGGAAAATTTAACTACTGAAACTGCAGATCCTGCCACACAATCTCTACATTATGTGTTCTCAAATGGAGTTAGTGTGAAAATGATAACGCTTGAGCCCAGGGTTTCCATGGCAACCCTTATTTGCATCCTAAAGAATGATGCAGTTGGAAGAGGCTTGATAACAGACAGAGAGAGAGAGAGAGAGAGGTAGACAGGGGGAGTCAGTGCATCGCATGTCTTTTATTAATGCAAACGCTATCAGAGTTAAATTTGTTCCTTGCAGTACCTTCGAGGGGTCAGAGTCCAATTATAGAAAAATGCAGCTTGTTCTCGCCTGGTTGCGGCCTCAGCTTTGCCAGACACACGCAAAGATGGCCGCATACTGCAATGGGCATGGGTTATATGTGCCAACAGTTTTCACACAAACACTTTTGGGGCAACAGTTGCAAGTAAGGGGAAGTCTTATCATTCAAATGAATGAATGATAGAACGGTTGTAAACATACTCATCTCTTAAATATATTCTGAGTTAGAATAAATGATTGCAGTGCTAGAAAACAGAGCAGTGTCTGGGAACGGCAAAGGGAACAAAACCAACTTTTGGTGAATACATTTAGAGATCATGAACTATAACATGTCTGCTTCTTTTTGTCAGTTTCTTTCATATTGATGATACGGTTATTCCAAATGTGGAGCAACACCGCACAACTAATGATTAGTTGCAGGTTGATAGCTGCATCTCCAGACCAACAATTGGTCTCATTTGATCTGACTGAGGCAGTTCAAAGGAGAGACAATGGCTAGTTTTAGGCTGGAGTAACACTTTGTTAGAAGAGAGTTGTCCACCACTTGAAACCTTTGATATATTTTCACATATAGACATGCATATTCTGCCTGTCTCTGTTGACACGTTTTTGGTGATTTGAGGTATTTTTTAGAGAAACATTTGTAGTGCATAAATAACTCCATAAATCTAAAACCACTAAGCACTTAATATCTTTTGTGACCATCAAGGAGTTCAGGGATTCATTCATTTTGACTACATTTGCATTTGATACAAACACTTCTGGTCAAGCCCACACAGTATAGGTTAACTTGCAAAAGTATCCAAACCCACTGAACTTTAGCAGTTCCCTGAATAACAAACCTTTTAAACAGTTAGTTGCTGTTTTTTTGTAACAGACCAACAGAAAGTGGTGCATCATTGTGAATCACTACAAATTGGATTCATGGTTTTCAAAGACTTTTCCAACTTCCTTCAATGGTTTGTAATAAATAGCAATGAGTCTTTTATAGTTCCTGAGATGCAATGCACATAAACTGTTTACTATCATGAGATACATGTTTCATATGAAGGCCTCATGTGCTGTACCAGTGCCAAATACCACACATCTTAAAGACATCGGCACCTGCAGGATGGTAGCACTCATCCTGCATCTGATGAAGACCTTTGATAGGTTGGTCCACCTTCATCGGATAGCCTGCAGTTTGTCCACCAGCCTGGTATTTGGGTGGATGATATTATCATCTACATACACCAATGCTTTTAGTCATTCTGGACTTCATAGGGACAAGCTAGAACTGTAAGAAGTGGCCACATGTCCCACTGAATAATGGATGACATCATTGTCCATTTGTAGTATGTGATGATGCAGGGCTGTAAGGAGCTGTGCAGACACTGTCCCTCTTCTACCTCTACACTACAGAAGTCTATGCTGCAGACTTCTCCATTAACTCCCCAGGTTGCCATATGCAGAATATCTCTGACTCTGCCATAGTCAACTTCCTCAAGTGAGGACAACTCAGAGTACAGACAGTGAACTCAGAACTTTGTGAACTGGTTCCAGCAGAACCATCTCCTGACAACGTTGAGAACATCAAGGAGCTGGAGGTGGATTTTTATGTGAACAGATCCAGTACACTGAAAGCAATAAATATCCAGGCACCTGACATTGAAGTAGAGGCCGTTTAAACCCACCTGGGTTTGGTATTTACTCAGACTGCCTTCATCTGAAGTTAAAATTTTAGTGGGAGATTAAAAAGATCAAATAAATCAGTTGAAGGAGAAACAATTATAGCACTGTTGTATGCATGGCTGATTCCTTCAGTTGTTTCCTTCTCCTTCCCCAGGCATTCTCTTGTTTTTCTGAAGGTAAGCATGTTATTTTAAACTTGAGAAGAATTTGTTTTAATGCAGAATACCACCGAAGTAATTAAAAACATAAGGGCATCACAGAAAATTATTTTCAAGCAAGTAAAATATTCTGTATGTCCCATAGCTGAAAACAAAGAAAGACTTCTCTTTATTTCTTCAGTCAGTTTCAGTCCAATAGATAGAATAATGAAACAACAGCTGTGAACAACTGTTCTGACTGACCAGAGTTGCTAGGAAACAGGTTCTGCACTGTTCTGTACTCAGCCATGGCTCCAGCCTCCGTGTCTTATAGCATTTCCTCCAGGGAACCATGAGACATCCCAGGATCTGAATTGGGGGAGGCTTTCCTCAGTGTGCTCCATCAGCTGCACTGGTGGGCGAAGAAGATGTGGCTTCCCCAGGCTCTGTGTGGTTTAAATCACCCGCTTGATGTCTGCAGCAACAAGGCAGCAGAACAAACACACAAAGTAGTGGAGAGATCTCAGTCGAGCAACCGTGTATAGCAGATGAAGATTATATTAAATGCAGTATTTTTGCACACAGTTTAAAGTCATATATATTTGACTTAAACCTAACACAAAGTTTGGGAAAGATTTCAAAACAAGAAAATCTGTCAAATTTGATTAATTGATTTTTAATGCCACAATTGGCAGAAACAACCTGATAAAAAGTGCCTTACTGAGTCAGATGGGGCTGGAACATTTCTGGAATCAACTTGCATTTCCACTCTGTTGTTATCAACTCAGTTCCCACAGAGCAGATTTTGTAGCACCAAAAATAAAATAATCTGCAAGGTCCCTCTTTATCCTTCTGTAGGTGCAAACCAAAGCAATAAACCTTGGAGAAACTTTATATCAGAGATCAAAGATGTTGCTGTTTTTTTTTTTATATCCCGCCACTCATTATTTGTTTCCTCTTCTTTGTTTCAGTACTACTTTACTGTCAACTTCAACCATGAAAACCAAAAGGCTCTTGAGTTGCGCACAGAAGATGTAAAAGACTGCGATGAATGGGTGGCTGCAATATCACATGCCAGGTAAAGGTGCACACGGAGGCAATTAGACACTGGGTTAGGGTAAGACATCTATTCGGGTTCTCAGAGTTTATTTATGACTTGCTTAGTTTAACATGACATGAAGCTGTGTTCATTAACATTAAACATGTTGCTCTAGATTCAGCACAGAACTAAGTGTGTTTTGTGTGTACTTTCATATGATGCAGTTACAGAAACTTGGCCACGGAGCATGAGTCTCTCATGCAGAAGTATCTTCATCTGCTTCAGATTGTCGAGACAGAGAAAACAGTTGCTAAGCAACTTCGTCAACAGATAGAAGATGGCGAAATAGAGATTGAAAGGCTAAAGTCAGAGGTAATATTTACAGATTTTTGTTGTTTTTATGCTCGCAGGAAACACTGGAGTGTAACATATGTTAATCCCGGGCATTGCAGATCATCACAGCTAAATGGAAAAATATTGGTAAAACCTATGCGAGTATTTTCCCTAACTGAATTTGTATATGCATTTATATTATCTCTTCAGTTTCAGTATGGTATCATGTTCACTATATGGTTGTCTTGAAAATAATTAAATAAAAAATAATAAAAATTATTATGTATTTTGGGATGAAAGATGTGACACTTAAATATTGTTACTATGTAAGGTCAGAGAAAGTTACTTTTGTCATTTTGCCAATATTTTGTGGACAAGCAGACCATATTTTCAATCAATCAGATATTTTTTTTAATGTGAAGGTTTTTAAAGAGCCCTAAAATAAGTCGCACAGTGACGAACTTGGTGAGACGAGCCAGTTCTCTACTTTGCATCTCCCAAACAAACCAACAAAAAAGTCTTCTGTGAACTTCAATACAAGGTTGTATTCTTAGGATCAAGTAGTCATTTTACTTTAATGTGCAAACGTGAGACTTTAAATCAAACCGTTTCTGGAATATGCATGAACTCTCTATGAAATCTTGTGACAGCTAACTGTTTCTGTGGTAACAAAATGAGAGAATCCATTTTCCACAGATTTAAAGAGCTAAGAGTAGGTTCTCATTGGATTTATATTTTTCCAACATCCCGATTAGCTTTTATTAATAGATCATGGTTTGACTGAGTCAACTGTCATTAAGTACTCTTGATTTTACTGATATATGTTTAGAACTGACACTAGGCATAGTTACAAGCAAAGTGAACAGTGTACTAATTTAGTCACGCCAATTTTCACTCCTATGACCTGTCCTGATAACTTAGTCACTTTGTTTACTTGCTGCTACAGTAAGTGTGAGAAAGATAACAACTAAAGTGTGAACAATTAGTCTTTATTTTGGCTGCTTTTCTCACAGATTGCTGGACTGCTCAAAGACAATGAGAAGATCCATGCCAGCCCAGCAGCCGCCCCAACAGAAGACGACTCAGAAATCAAAAAGATCAAAAAGGTAATTGCACAGAATTTAAACTTCCAGTTTTATTTCATTTATGCATTTGTGTTTTAGATGTCAACAGATTACACTGCCTGCTGCAGGTTCAGAGCTTTCTGAGAGGCTGGATCTGCAGGAGAAAGTGGAAGACCATCATCCAGGATTACATCCGCTCACCTCATGCAGAGAGCATGAGGAAGAGGAACCAGGTGGTGTTCAGCATGCTGGACTCAGAGGCCGAGTACGTCCAGCAGCTTCACATCCTGGTGAACAACTTCTTGAGGCCACTGCGTATGGCCGCCAGCTCTAAGAAACCACCAATTACACATGATGATGTCAGCAGCATTTTCCTCAACAGGTCGGTTCATTCTTTCTCACAGAAATTTTGAGGGGTACTGTAGTTTCCAACGTTCTTCTTTTCTTAACCTTACACAAGACATCATATATGGTTGATATTATGAAACTAGTTAGCTTAAAATGTTTGCAAAATGAGAAAAAAGTTCTTCCTCTTGTCTTTTCAGTGGCATGTAAAATGAAATCTTCCATGTTACATACATATTGTAATTAATTTTCTTTAGCAATAAACTGAATGACTATCAATAACATAAATTGCATAAAACACAATTTCTTGTTGGCAAACCATAAGCATTGATTTTACTTCAACATACTCTACATTACTTTCTCTGGAATTTTTCTTTTTCCATGAAGATTTGATTTTATTCTTCAGCTTCTATTTTGAGGACAAATTAAGATGAAAATCAAAATCAAACAGGAGAATTTTGTATCCCTATTACAGATTTGTCTTGAGATTTATAGGTTTTAAATGTTTTTTTTACTAATTAAATTATGGGTTTTTTTCTTATTTTAGTGAAACCATTATGTTCCTGCATCAGATTTTTTACCAGGGTTTGAAGGCCAGAATAGCTAGCTGGCCAACATTAGTACTGGGTAAGAATCCTCTATTTTTTACTCTCATCATACAAGATTAAAGTAGCCTCAGAGTCCCTTGAAAACATATACTTTCTTTGTATCGGCACTTTTCCACAGCTGACCTTTTCGACATCTTGCTACCCATGCTGAACATCTACCAAGAGTTTGTTAGAAACCACCAGTACAGCTTGCAGATCCTGGCTCACTGTAAGCAAAACCGGGATTTTGATAAGCTGCTGAAGCAGTATGAGGCCAAGCCCGACTGTGAGGAACGAACTCTGGAGACCTTCCTCACTTACCCAATGTTCCAGGTTAGTTTGTTTGTGCCATTAATAATCTTTTTAATATCACAAAAACAACCACGTTTTGCTGTCAGTGTTCTACTTTAGCCTGAGCCAAGCTCTCCTTACAGTTTGTAAGGATATTATCATCATCATCAGATTTATTAAAGACACAAACAGGTCCATAAAAAGATAATTTAAGAAAATTAAAATTAAATAAATTTTAAGTCAGACAGTTTTTCCATATTTATAATGCCCATTTTCAACTATGCTGTTGTCACAGTACCTGCCTTAGTTACTGCTGTGTCTCTCCAGATTCCAAGATACATTCTTACACTCCATGAGCTTCTGGCCCACACTCCCCACGAACACATAGAAAGGAACAGCTTGGACTATGCCAAATCTAAGCTGGAGGAGCTTTCAAGGTATTTACATAACCAAAACTCAGAATGATCATCAAATCTCTGCTTATCTTCCAAGTTAGGTCCTTCTAAATGTCAATGATTAAATTTCCTCTATTGTAGAATAATGCATGATGAGGTGAGCGAGACGGAAAACATCAGGAAGAACCTGGCAATAGAACGTATGATCATAGAGGGCTGCGAAGTCCTCCTTGACACCAGCCAGACGTTCGTGAGACAAGGTATCCTCCACCGCTATCACAACATGAGGGGAATTCTTGTCCTTTCACATTACCAGACTGACAGCCTGATCTCACAGGGAGCAAAGGGAATTGCTTGATGCTCTTTGGGAAGTGTGAGCATTATTCACAGGAAGAGTTTGTAATTTCCTAATGTAATTAGACTGTTCTGAGGCACAGTGATGATGAATCAGGAACTGTAAATGTCACATGTCCCCAACAGGCCTTTGTGGGTGAGGAGAGAGGAAAAGTGGCGGAAGCCGATTCAATCCCTATTATCTAATGTACTACATGTTTGTTTCTCTCTTTAGATATCTGAGAATTTTTTTTAATTTCTGTCTGGTATTTAATCACACACAGTTTTTTCTATTTTAGATCTTTTAGGAATAATAAAAAAATGAAAAAAAAATCTGTTGTTTTACCTGTCTTCAGATTTAAAACTTTTCAATCTTTAGCAGCTAACTTTTAAAGTATCTTGTTTGTTCCACAAGCTTCTGACAATAGATTGGCAGAGCTTTGACTTATTCTTCTTTAAGGATGACTGATGACTGAGTCAGGTTTGTAGGTCTCATTGATCTCACACACCTTTTCAGTTCTGCCTACAAATTTTGTATGGTGTTGAGATTAGGACTTTGTGAAAGCCACTCCAAAAAGATACATTTGTTGCTTTTAAGTCACTTTGTCATTAATTTGACAATATGTATTGGCTCATTCTCTATTTGGAAAACGTTCTGTTCTGAGGCACACTGTGTAAGAAATAATTCAGTGTAGATAGTGACACTCTTTTACTCGCTTCGTTCAGCATCTTCACAAGAGTTGTGCCAAAATGCAAAAAAAACAAAAACAAAATCATCTCGAGTCCATAGAACCCGTCTCCTATCCAAAAGGCATTTTTCTGTCATGCCAACCACTTTTGATGCATTTTTACACCATAGCCACTTTCAATAAGCCACTCTGTGCACACATTCATTCACTGCTATGCAAAGTATTAGGTAACTTGCAGCTAAGTGACTTTCCCCAGGGCACATTGACATATGGCAGGTTAGGAAGACAAAGTTGAAGTTACAACTTTCTGCAAAATGACTCATCTTACCGGTGAGCCATCACACACCCCAGTTTGTAATAGTTTACTTAGATGAACATATGAACATCTCAAGGCATGTAGAAATTTTAACCAAGGATGAACCAGACTTGTGGACAGCCACAATTTTTTTCCTGATGTCTTGACATATGTCTTTTAATTTTTGTGTTTACATTATGTCACACCCAGTGCCAAGGTTTTGCATGAGAATACATTCAGAGATGTAAAGTTTTGAATTTGGAGAAAACAATCTAAAATGGCCTCATCATTTTTTGGATTCTTAAAATAAAAAATGGTTTTCATCTATTTAGGTACTGCATGCCAATATCTGGTTTCTACTGTTAATATTTATCTCCTTTTCTATTTGTGGACTGTAGGGTCTTTAATCCAGGTGCCAATGAGCGAGAAGGGCAAGATCACCCGTGGGCGACTGGGTTCTCTCTCTCTAAAGAAGGAGGGGGAGAGGCAGTGCTTTCTCTTCTCCAAGCATTTGATCATCTGCACTAGGGGTTCAGGAGGCAAGCTTCATCTCACTAAGGTGAGCCTAAGCTTCAGAGTTAGCTAGCACTGTACATTTTTCTCATTTTTAACATGTCTAGTAGTACGGTGAATGTTCAAGATAAAAAAAGAACCATAATCAAATCAAGAGTGAATGCACCAATGCAGTCATGGAAAAATGAGGATAAGTTCAAGGCAGTCTGTTTTTTCTGAGCGTATTTGGTCATATGGATATTTAGTACTAGGGAATTTTATGTATTATTTATATCTAAAAAACAACAATAAAAGGGAAGGAAAAATATTTTACATTGCTCTAGAAGATATAATTAAGATGTAATTTATGATGAAGAATGAAAATAGCATTTATTCCCACTCATTGTAGCTAAAATTAAACACTGAAATTTTACATCAGGCATCAATGAGTTGATCCACAGAGTTGACTGAGGCCTACAAAAAGAAGATTGCAGCAGTTTGGGTCAGATAAGGGGAAAAGATTTTGAAAAAATTAAAAAAAAAGTCAACTGGAAAGTATTACTGTATGGAAAGTAGTGTACAAGGACATTCAAATGAATTACCATCATTCCCAAGTATGATGCACAAGACAGGGCCTGAAACTGGTATATCTTATCTTCCATGCAAAGGTTATCATCCTTGACACGAGAATGTGCGGTCCCTCACGTAAAATCTGGCCCATTCATTCATTCTGAAGACAAGGGAAATTTGCAACGCAGTTGGTGAGGTGGGGAATTGAAATCACACTGCCTCATGAGTTCTCCTAGACATTCAATTTCACTGTATGTCAAACTTTAATAATATCAACAACGAAATGTTTTCAGTGAAGCAAACATATAGTTTTGGAAATGCCTAGTCAGAGTCGAGAACCAAATCTGACAGAACAAATCTGTGGTGTTAGCTGAAGCAAGCTTTGGACAAAAGAGAATGGTTATTGTCATGTCAAGACGTGGCATGATGTCAGACCCCAGCCAAAAAACTCTGAAAGCCAAAACTTCTAGGTATTTTCACAGAGTATTAGTTTAAGGCTGTTCACACCAATTGATCCAGATTGTTGCACCTCAATGTATTTATTTCTCCTCCTAACACACTTGTTGGACTTTCAGTTGAAATGCGCAGAACAGGTGACAGATGACAAAAATTTTTAAATAAATTACAACGGCCTCCATTTATTGCTTCATCAAAACCTGCCATTTTAACAGGGGTGTGCAGACTTTTAGATCCGCTGTACGTTTGTGTCCAAGAAGTTGTACAACACTGACATTTTTACTCCACATAACTCAACTCTGAAGGTTTTAAGATCTGACTTATGTTATTTATTCTCGTAGCTCAATCTGTACATGGTGTGCATGCCAATATTCATCTGCATTACAATATGATTAATCCGTGATTTTTTTCACAAACTCCTGAGAAATGTACATTCTAAAATTATTAGCATTCTAATAGGGTTGGTTACTGTCACACAGATGTATTCTGTTGAGTGAAAAAAGGCTGGTGTGAAACACTAAATCTATTTTTTTATGTGCTATTTTTAGAACGGAGTGGTCTCGCTTATAGACTGCACTCTGATGGAGGAGCCTGAGGGGACAGATGACGAGTGTAAGAGTTTAATTCATGTTCCAGCTTGCAGCAATACGCATTACATGCAGTGTGTTTGACATTTTGTGTAATGTCTGATTGCCACAGTGCATAATAATGTAATAATGTTATATATTCTGTCATTGGAAGAGTCAAAATTTTAATCAAGTCAGCAGAACAACCAAAATATTTTCTTCCAGGAGCTAAAGCAATAAAAGAACACCATTATATATTTTAGGGCATTTGAAAAGTGATAATTATTTATGTAGGCAGGAACAGAGGTAGTGGCACACCACAGTCACTGTAAAATAGGATTTTACTCATCTTCAAGAACAAAATGAAAAAGTTAAAATGACATTTTAACTCTGTAACCTTTTGTAGTAGTGCAGGCTCACACAGAGAGGCTGACATTACTAAAACAGTAGTCTTCTTATTTATTCCATAAAAATGCAGATCCTTACATTCATTTTGCAGTCTTCAAAAACCTAACACCTTTTAATTCACTATTATCCATAACACATACAGATTGCTTTATTCCATTTAGCCTTCCTGTTGTCTGAAGAAAGTATTGCTCTCTGACAAAGTTCTGCAACCTTAATGAAATGCAGACATTCATTGAAAACAATTTCTTTGATTTAGCTTCTTGCTAGTTTGTGCTTCCTCTGACTTTATTTGGAACACCTAAAGGATTGTAAACTTAAGTAACACTGAGTCTCATTTAATCTGTAACAGCTTCCTCATGAAGCAGTGTTGTTATTGGTGTATGGTGCAATTACTGACCAGTGGGTCACTGGTCAGGGCTAGAAAACTGTTAGTTCTAGTTAGCTGATTTATCATATATAAGAGAATAAAACAATTAAAGATATCTTACAAGGTATACTGGAGCGATTTATCTGTTCTTTATATCACAAGCTTTATATTTTAAACTGATTTCGCTACAGTTACTTGAAATATATATTTTTTGTGCCTATTTCTGCCTATTTCATTAGAGCTATTGAGAATGACATCTTGTCTTTTTGCTCCCCTCAAAGCTAAATCCGATAAGAGTGGCCAGGACATGGAGCACCTGGATTTTAAGATTGTTGTGGAGCCAAAGGACAGTCAGTCATTCACGATCATCCTGGTGGCCTCCTCCAGGCAGGAGAAGTCTGCGTGGACCAGTGACATCAGCCAGGCACGTCAACACACATAACAATCCCCAGCAGTGAGACACAAATCTGAGCGTGTCAGCTGAAAGCCTTCATATTACAGAACTCACTAACATTTCCTCTGTCTCTTCTGTTTACTTCACTGCCCCTTTCCTGCAGTGCATAGACAACATCCGCTGCAATGGGCTGATGATGAACGCTTTTGAAGAAAACTCTAAAGTCACAGTGCCACAGATGATAAAGTGAGATATATTTTATATGCATTCAATACTCTGTATCCTGCCTGCTCTGAGCCTTTTCTTTTCTGATTTTTGTGGGCCATTCTTTTGCAAATAGATCTGATTCAAGTCTGTACTGTGATGATGTGGATATCCGCTTCAGCAAGATGATGAACTCCTGCAAAGTGCTGCAGATTCGCTATGCCAGTGTCGAACGTTTGCTGGAAAGACTGACGGATCTCCGTTTCCTTTCGATTGACTTCCTGAACACTTTCCTGCACTCCTACCGCGTGTTCACCACAGCTGATGTGGTGCTGGATAAACTCATTACTATCTACAAGAAGCCCATCAGTGCCATCCCTGCTCGGTGAGTCATGAGGCATATTTAAGCATATTTTAATGTTTTATTGCCATTGATGGCACTTTTGATCAGAAAACAAATAAAACTCTAAGCGTCTGGCATATGAGCATCTCTCTCTTTGGATAAAAGGCTGATGCTTGTGAAATGTGTTCTCCACTTAAAAGTTTTGACATTTTAATCATGCTTGAATGTTTTTAAATAATCTAACAAATTCTTATCTCAAAGATAACCTCACAAAATACTAAATGCAGTTTGCTAATGATTTTATTAAGTGAGCAAAAACATCCATTCTCCAGCCACTGCTTAAACGCTGCTAGAATTACAAAATCAGGAAACCATTCAAATAGAATCAGCCTAACAACATGAAATAGGCAAAAAGCGACACATCTGTTCATCAAAAAATTGAAGAACAGATGCTAAAAAAGTCACTAACATCTATTGGTCTAGGAACAACTGCAAAACCATTTGTTAGTTTTTTGAGAATCTTGCAAACCTCATCAAAAGTCATCATGCAAACATGGGCAAAATATGGAAAAGCGATTAACATTCTTCAGAGTGGCCAGTGGACCAAAATTACCTCAAGAGTGCATTTACGTCTCACAAAAGAACACGAACAAAAGGACTGCAGAATTTACTTGCAGTCTTGAGGCTGATTTGATGCTAAATGTGACCTTGAAGATTTGCCACAGTCAACAGCATTATGAATTCTGCTCTCGAGCAACAAACCTGATGTCCTGCTATCAGCTTGGGACCTTAGCCAATGCACACATGGGTACTGCAGAAAGTCCACCTTAACAGCTAAAAGAAATAACACATCTGTGGTTTTGGAGCAATATAGCAAAAGTTGGGAAGCTCTGTTATGATTTTAAACCATTAATGCCTGAAAACCTTCAATTGCAGGTTAATTAAAACAGACAGCCAAATTTCCTCGACAATAATTTAAAAGAATGACTGCATGTCATCAGAAAATATATTCAACAATCTGAAACATTTAAGAAAGACAAAAAAAGAAGAAGCAGAAGAAATCAGATACGTTTTCAGTAGATGTTCGTTTCTGTAAGTAGTGAGAAGACAGAAAGGCATCAAATAAGGGCAATTCTCTATTATGTTTCAGTTTGTCTGCATTAACTTGTGTAGGTTGTATGTGTGCTTTTGGGTCAGTAATTGGGTCCAGTTAGTACTTTTTGGCTGGGAGGGCCCAAACACTGATCTGTCACGCTATGGCAACCATGCTTTCTGCTGCAGGACCCCACCCTTCCCTTGTTTCCCTCTCTTCATTTTTTTGAAAATATCTGTAGCGTGAAATATAGACGGAAGTGTTGCATTGTGGGCCAACTCCCAGCACTGCATGCCTAGAGTGAGGACCCAGCTGTGGGGTTCAGATCAGACAGAACTCCCCATGTCCACGCCCTGCAGTATGCTTTCCCATGGTGCTTGTAATGTCACTGTGAGACACCTACACTTGGCTGCTTGTGTCAGCAGTGGCCATGCGCACTATCACTCGCTGTGCTATTTATGGGAACCCGTGAGGTCGGCAGGAGGGTGGCAGGGAGTGGGAGAGGTTTACTGAAATGCTGCAGTCTGTGTTCTGCTCTAAAATGTTGAGACTTGGTCGCAAAAACAGTTTTGATTGCTGGATTTACTTGTTTTACAAGAAAAGTATAAAGTTCTGGATAGAAGTTTATATGCACTCATCCATGGAATGAATCTAATATTAATGTGAGATGTTTTTGTGATTTATTTAAACTGTTGCTTTTTGTGGATGGAATGATAATATAACAAACAATTCTCACCTTTTAAAAAAATAGAAATTTAATGGATACACTTAAATCAAGTGTAGCCTTTCTCTTATCCACATTGGATCAGAATTATATATTAAATATATTTTTCTTCATCAAATTACACTCAGTTACCATAATCCTACATGCCATAGGCTGGCACTGGGAATTTCATAAGAAGAGAGTTGGAAGACAGTCATGGGAACACAGTCCTGGAGAGACACAAATGGCAGAACCAAGTGCAGTTCCAGTCAAATGTATAAAATCTGGCATAACTTGATCAAAACTGTGTTGAGTTACTTTCATTCACCTTAACTTATGGTGAATCCAATCTTTGAAGTTCCAGCTAGATTCATTTGGTTTGTTTTGGTGAAACTGCAATTTGACCAGAACATTCCTTCAAAAATCAACTCATGTATTCAGAACTTAAAATTATGCCCATAAGTATTTTCAGTCTTGGGTTTGAATCCCAGTGTGTGTTCTTTCTGCATGGTGTTTGCTTCCTCCAATAGTCCAAAGAAATGACTGTTATGTTAGTTGTTTTTTTTTATATAAATTCCCCTAAGGTAAATTTGCACAAAGGCATGGTAATTTTTCCTGTTCATCTTTGGCAATGTGAAGAACTGGCAACCTGCCCAGGATGCACCCTGCTTCTAGTCTGATGACCGATGGAGATAGGCACCAGCTGCCCCACTTACATAGATAAGCAGATATAGACAGTGGATGGATAGATGTACATTTCTCTCATTGTTTTTGATAACATACGCAATTACAATAAGGAAGAACACAAATCACTCCTTCAGATTTTTGAAACCAATGAGATAATTTATATAAATGAGTTGCTTATCATTTGCCACAGTTAATGATTGACTACATGTGAGACTTGATCCTTTTATTACTCTACCAATTCAGTCAAAAAAGTAACTCTAAGATCCCAAAGTCATACAAGTTTATGCAAACTTCTGACCAGTATCATAAGTGTTCTGTATGCAGTTAGCCTATAAATAAAATTCTACTATGTCATACAAACATATTTCTTTATGCTAACCACAATGCAGGTCCTTGGAGTTATTCTTTGCCAGCAGTCAGAACAATAAGCTTCTATATGGAGAGGCTCCGAGCTCTCCCAGAGCAAACAGGAAGTTTTCCTCCCCTCCTCCTCTTGCTATTGCCAAAAACTCATCCCCCAACCGCAGACGCAAGCTCTCTCTCAACATCCCCATCATCACTGGGGGCAAAGCTCTTGACCTGGCTGCCCTCAGCTGCTCCTCCAATGGCTATGCAAGCATGTATTCCACCATGTCGCCATTCAGCAAGACCACCTTGGACATCAACAAGCTGTACGTGTCCAGCCCGATCACAAGCAAGATCCCTGATGAGGGAGAGGACAAGAAAGATAAGGTGGAAGATGCATCAGTGTGCAAACAAGGTTGGTCAGCTGCAGGCAATCCTAGAAAAATGCTTCTTTTGATTTTATATTGACATTATAATGTGATCAAAATCTTGCTTTCTATTTAGATCTTTCTGTGCGAGAGGAAAGTGACAATGATCAAAACCAGAGCGATGACGGGGATCCAGAAGCATCTCCCACCAAGTCTCCAACAACACCAAAAAACGTCAAATGCAAAAACTCCTCAGGTACACTGCGTCCAAAACAAGAAGTGTGACATAATCTCACATTATGAACATGATAGATAATCTTCTGGACTGCATACTCCTGTAACACTCAAAAATTTATCCTGCAAACTATTATTTTTTATTCAGTTGAGTTTAGACACATTTTAGTTACTTGTAATTACTTTCAAAGATAAAAAAAAAAATGACCTGCATGTTATCTGAAGAAAATGGGAATAAAGCTGCTGCACATTATAATGTGTTCATGGTTCATGATCATGTGGGGAAAACCAGATCTTGGCTACAGTAGGTGTTAAGAAAAACTTGTGTCATAGCAACTACATCAAGAGCGTGCTTTCCCTGCCGCCCCCAGTAATAAGTCTGTTTTGCTGTCACCAAGATTATTTTCGCCTTATAAATCTATTGTCTAAAAATGCATGGTAGATTTTTAACAGCAAGTCTTGGACAACAACATGTACATTTAGTGAAACTGTTGAGCAGGGTTACAGATTTGTATCTGCGTATGAGCTGGTGATTCGAACAGGGCAGAGAGCTGAGAGTCTGTTGATTTCACTGTTATGCTGATATTTGCTGGCTATATTTAGCAGCAACCATCTTAAATATCAAAGCCTCTTGAAGAGAAAAGTCTAGAGGGAAACTGTTGTGTCGGTCTCTAGTGCTCCCTAGTGGAGGCGTGTGCAAGCAACATCAGGTTATTCTGCAGTCTGAATAAATTCGGTTATTTTTAGTAAGATGCAGTTACATAACAGTTCTTGTTTGAAAATGATTTATTTTGACTACAGGAACCTGTTAATGTTTTATTTTATTTATTATTTTTTTTGTTCTCTGTAGAGTTTTCTCTGTTTTCCTACAACAATGGCATGGTCATGTCCTCATGTCGAGAGCTCGACAACAACCGTAGTGCTTTGTCTGCTGCCTCGGCCTTTGCCATCGCCACAGCTGGAGCCAATGAGGGAACGCCTACAAAGGAAAAATATCGGCGGATGTCCCTTGCCAGCACAGGTATGCGATCTTGTCAGGTCAGGGTAAGACTTAATTGGACTATAAAATATTTGGTAGAACAGGGACATTTGGGCCCGTTTGTCCACATCTCTTCCATCCCTGCTCTTTAACCAGTGAGCTATCTATAAAAAATACGTTTGAATGCACTCTCCTGTATTTAGTTTCACAATCATATCAAATTAAAAGTTCTCTGATCTTTACAATTAATCAACATACTGTAAAACTGACTTAAAAGGCTCTTTCATGACTTTTTCCTTGTTCAAGTCATTTTTTCTGTTGTTGCTGCTTACTCATTGATAGATCATTTTCTCTTATTTCCACAGTTAAAATGAAGATGATAGTGAAATAAAAATAAAAAAATCTTAATCTCTTATGTTTATACAATATCTCAGCTGTAAGAGTGATGGGGTTCCCCCATGGAAGCAGAAGCTTTTTACTGGAGATCCAGGTCTTCACAGACAAAACTAGTAGAGTCTTGAAAATGGCAAGATATCTTGTAACAACTTGGCATAAGCATTTTAATATTTAGAAATTACTTGTGGTTTTAAGTTTTTCAAGTTGGAAATCGATTCAGTTGATATGACTTTTTGTTGGCGAATGTTGAACTTTATAGGTGATTTTAAATGTATGACTGGAATAATTACAATAATATGTAAATAAAGCTCAAGGTTTTATGCAGAAAGAAAGTCTCGACTTGAAAAACAAAGTGTTTCAATATAAGCCATTCATCAATTTGGTAGAAGTAGCTCTTACAACATTTAGTTTATTTTGAGACACTTTATCTGCATGTCAGTTTATTTTTCTTTTTAACAAAATATTACTTAGTTTGTTTTGCAAATATTGGGGGAAGTAACCGGATATCTATTTTAGTCACCAGAGTTTTTATCTGTGGCATATAGAAAAGAGATAAGCAGCTCTACCTTGCTTTCCAATGAGCTGGCTGAAACAGAGCCACATTTTCCCTTTCTAACATAAATACAAATCTGCTCAAGAAGCACCACTCATCCAACATGTTTAGGAATTATTGTTTTAAAACAATACTTGGACATCTAAAAGTGGAATGTGTTGTGACTTTTTATATCTTTTGAACAAAGTCAAATCACAAGTAAGGGGGCGTTCGAGCTATAAAGTTTCACTCTATTTGCAGATTGCATCAGCAAAACAATACACCACATGCATGGGGCTTAGGAAAGTTTCTAAACTGAAAGTAACAATAATAATAATGATAATAATAATAATAATAGTAATAATAATAATAATAATAATAATATAAAATAAATGCAGATGCTGTTTTGATGCTTGTCAAGGTCTATTTATAAACATTTTGTGTCTGAAAGGCATTAGCTTGGTTAAATAATGACTTTGCTAATCTGGACTACAACATTTATCAAACTGTTCTTCTGAAGCACTCCAGATTAGCAAGAAGCGCTGGACAGCAGCACGATCTACTTATACCCACTGCTAGCTCATTTTATTGTATGCAATATAAACCAAAGTTCACCTTTACTTACATCCTGATAATAACCGTCATTAAGTGTAAAGAATTAAACTGAAGATTTTGTGGTTTGTTGATGTTTTTCTAACGTTTTACCTTTTGTTATTTTTATTTTTGTGAACATTAGGGTTTCCAACAGATCAGAGAAATGGTGACAAGGAGTTTGTGATCAGACGAGCAGCAACCAACAGAGTTCTGAATGTACTGAGGCATTGGGTGTCCAAACACTTTCCGGTAAATGCTCTGTTCAGATTTATTTAGATGCAGATTTTCTATCTCTTTTTTTTAATTATGACCCAAATAACTGATCTTAGTAAAGTTACCTGGACATGTGTTCTCTATGTCTTTTCAGGACTTTGAGAGTAACAATGAGCTGAAGACAAAGGTCATTGCCTTCCTTGAGGAAGTGATGCATGACCCTGAGCTGCTGACCCAGGAGAGGAAAGCAGCAGCCAACATCATTAGGTATCACTGACTGCTGCTACATTGTGGGATTAAAATGGGTCTAATTCATTAATTAACAATTAAATCAGTTTATTTCTTAAGTGAAAATGACAAGAAATCCTTTATTTGATTATTTATGGGCAAATAAATGAAAAGGGATTACAAATATTATAATCGTTAGTACTGCTATGCTGTGAGCACAACACAGTGGTCATGAGGTGAGCAAACAACCGAAACTAATTATTTTAAAAATAAAACTGAAAATATATATATATATAATTATTACTATCATTATTTTATTTATATATTCTGGTAAGTGTTCCAAGATATATTGTTTATGTTGTTTGCTGTACACATTTATAATACTTAGCAAAATCTTTTTTCATCCCACACTTGAACAAATTGACAAAAACAAAGTTCAACGTGGTTTTGTTGAAACCCAATTAATTTGGAGCTGATTTCTTTCTCTTTCAGGACTTTAACTCAGGAAGATCAGAGTGACAACCAGATCACAATGGAGGATGTGACACAATTGGTGAGTGAAGTCAATTGCTTTTGGGATTCACAAATTGTTGATATATTAACCTATAATTTTGGAGTCTTTTTGCAGCATTTAATAAATTAATTAAAACGTAACCCACTGTGGCTGTATAGTGTTTTTTCAAACTTTGTATTTGAAACCTTGTACTTTCCAAGTCCTGCAGACATCTGTGAATTGTCAAGTGGAAATGATTTGTCTACATGTATATGTACATTGCTTGGTCAAACAAGATGGATGCTTATTCTTTACTCAACTTGTTAAAAAAATATTTTTCAACAGCTTTTTATGACTAAATCAGCTGTAAACCCTAGTGATGGTGAGATAAGGCTTCAAGATGTATTTAAGCTTTTCGACTATTTTATTTTTCTTATGGGCCAAAATTCTAATGAAATTAGTTTGCTTTACTGTGCCTTCAAGTGGTCAAATGATGCAAAGAAGGCTTTAGTATGTGAAGACACCCCAAGACTTGTCGCCATGATTGCAGCAAAAAGTGGCTGTATGAAGGACTTGAATAACATCTCAATAAAATATATTTTTCAAGGTTTATTTTATGTTTTGCATTTTAACTGACGCACACATTTGTTTACCTCACTCAGGTGGGAGGGGGAAAGGCCGAGCCGTTTGAGAGCCACTCTGCCTTGGAAATTGCAGAGCAGCTAACTTTGCTTGACCACCTGGTCTTTAAAGTCATCCCATATGAGTAAGTGCCACAGTAAAGCTGAACACATCTGTGACCTATGCACCGCATAGTCTATAAGTTATTTAAGTGAGGTTCATCTTTAAGTTGAGTTGAGTTCTTTGTATTTCAGGGAATTCTTCGGTCAAGGCTGGATGAAGAATGATAAAAACGAGAAGACACCATATATTATGAGAACCACCAAGCATTTCAATGATGTAAGCTATATATAAACACACTTAAGCTAATTTCATTTACTCCAAAACTTATTTTTTCTTTCTCTTTCTTCCGAAGACAAGCAACCTGATCGCAACAGAGATCCTGCGGTGTGATGACTTGGTCACTCGAGTGGCTGTCATAGAGAAATGGGTGGCTGTGGCTGACATCTGCCGTTGTTTGCATAACTACAATGCTGTGCTTGAAATCACCTCATCTCTAAACCGGAGCTCTGTTTTTCGCCTCAAGAAGACCTGGCTAAAAGTCTCCAAACAGGTATGAGTTTCTGCAGATGTTGTTGCAACTTCCTTGAACCTCTGTCAATAAAATATATTTCCTATTTGCTCTTTTTTATAGACAAAAGCACTTATTGACAAGCTCCAAAAGCTGGTTTCGTCAGAGGGAAGGTTCAAAAACTTGAGAGAAGCTCTGAAGAAGTAAGTTATATGCAGACACCTCCTATTGAAGTTAGAGAATAAAGGGTCGAATAGAGAAGTTGGATGCTGATAGTATGGTATCTTTTCACTAGCTGTGATCCTCCCTGTGTACCATATCTGGGGATGTACCTCACTGATTTGGCTTTCATTGAAGAAGGAACGCCGAACTACACTGAAGACAATTTGGTCAACTTCTCAAAGATGAGGATGGTGAGATGTTTGGGGCTCTGTTGCATTAGATGCAAATTTGAGCTTTACATGCTGAAAATGACATCTTGCTGGTTTTCTTTTTGTAGATATCTCACATCATCAGAGAAATCAGACAGTTTCAACAAACAGCATATAAGATTGACCTGCAACCAAAGGTAAATAAGTGACTGTGGCTTTTCATCCATGGCATGACTTTTTTTTATATAAATCAAAAAGGGCTAAAGGTTTCCTGAATCCAACTATTTTTGAGCTGCTGGGCCTGATAAGGGGAGCTATGTGGAGAGGAACTGAGAGACTATCCAAGCTCCTAGGAAACTTAATGTCAATCTGTAACATATGGGGACAGTTTCTGAGGTTGCATAGTTATGCAGATCTTGAGATACTAGTGTTTGTTATACACCAGTTAGTATCTATCAAGCTCAAGATTAACTGAATTTAATCCATATTGCTTTCTATTTTTCAGGATCTTTAATACAAGAATATCTTGAAGTATTTTATAGATTTAGTGTTGAAAAAAGTTCTTGCAGTGTTAATGTTGAATATATCTGTAATTGTTCAAAGCAAATATTTGGTAGCCGGAGATTTTTTGTTTTTGTACCTAAATATATTACCTAATTTGTTGCAGTCCTTAACCTTTGCTGTTTCTTGGTCTGTTCCAGGTAGCCCAGTATCTACTGGACAAGAGTTTTGTTCTTGATGAGGAAAGCATGTATGAAGCCTCACTCAGAATTGAGCCAAAAGTGCCCAACTGATGGGGAAAGTGGACCTTAACACTTTGTTTCCTTTGTTAATATTACATATAAGTTAACATCTACATTTGCATTTGTATAGCTGTACATGGTAAAGATATTTGTTCTTCTGTACAGTAGATGTTTAAAGTTGTTTGATGACACAAATCATTTTGGTGTATAATTTTTGTTGTCATGCTGACACCTCTTGTAGGGACCTTTGTTTAAATTGTTTGAGTATTTTATTATTATTATTATTTTTAATAATAATAACAATAATAAAATATTATTTATTAAAAATAATAATAATAATAAAATAAAAATTATTGTTACATGATAAAAATAATAATAACAATAATAATAATAGAGGTCACTGTAGTTGCATGCAACCGTGTTTCTTAGTGACCAATGACATTATTTTGCATCATATAATACTGTGTTAAATTTGCACTTTCTGAGCACTAAAGCTGCTGGCCTTTGTTCAGCAGGCTTGAGTTTTATTGATCATTGACGTTCTCTGCAACCAATGTAGCATTGTATAAATGAATTGCAAAAAATAAAAAAATTAAAAATCAGGTAAAAGAGCCCAGAGGAAATAGGCTAATTGTATTTTAAAAGAGGGAACAATGATCAGTGGAAATGACAGCGAGATATCCAAAGCATTTGTGTCTCTGTGCTTCCTGAACCAAAAAAGGAAGATATTTGTGTCTTCATTTATGTTCATTAGTCTAAACTGTGGTGGTTCCCAATTGTTTTATATCAATATATTCACAATATATTTTATTGTGAATCAACCTAATCCGACCAACCAGGAATGCAATTTAGATGGAGCTTTGTTTATATCTGTTATATTTTACTACACAGAATTGTGTAACTTATTTTCTTCTTCTAGAGTAATCCTAATCCTGATACCTATTTGGCATCCAGAAGTAGGTTGCTGAAATCCCACAGCTAGTATGGTCTCCTTTTGATATAGTAGTGTCAATATAAAGACATTTTTAGCAAATTTCACAAAATAAGGTTTTGCTCTGGGGATGTTTTGAGCATAGAGTCACTTCTAAGCTGGTTCTAAACCACAAAATAACAATAATTCTCCAGAACTTGCAATCTGGTTAAAGTATGTAAACATTGTTTACATGTCAGTTAGACAAAGGTATACCGAGAAATCTGACAACAGGGTTCTTTCTTTCTAATTTGTAATAAATATATATATGCAAACAAAAACAGCTACGATTTTAGATTGTCATATTTAAGAAGATATTATGCAGACTTTATTAAAGGGCATATATCACATATTTTTTACAACTTTTCAATTGTGTTTAGGCTTGTAGTTGAAACTTATCAGTTTATTTCCATAACAGAAATTTAGATATTTTTAAAAAACCTTGAAAGAAAAATCAGCAGAAAAGTGGTATTTGCTCACGATCAAAAACTGCCTTGGAATAAAGGCAAAATGGAATGCCAAATTCATGCACTTGGTGCATAACACATTAGCTTTCCAAGACTAAATGTGATGACTAAGTTTTGAGCTCAATTGTGAGTTCATCCGGGAAACATCTATAGACAGATTAATAACTGAGGAGGAAATCAAATAAGATCTGGTCTGACAAGGCGTATCCCAGAGACATGAACCTGGGGGGATAATGGTGCTCTATGGTGAGCACAGTGTGTTTAATTCACTGAATTAGTGAATTAATATTATCAACATCAATAATCATTGATTAATAACTGTCATTAATAATTAATAATTATTATTATCATAACTAACCATGATAATGTTATCATTATAATATGGTGATAATAATTAGCATATTATAATAATTATTATGACAACAATTATCATTATTAATAATAATTAATTATTATTTATTAATAATAATGAATATTTTTAGAACTCTTGAGACAAAATCATGCAATTTGAAACACCCAAATTCTGGCAGCTTTCAGATAGGTGCAATTTCTTATCTGCTTCTAATCAACAATATTATTTTGATGTGCACAGGCATGCATTTCTCAAAGAAAAGACTGTGCAACTAGCCTAGTTTATATTAGCATGCAGTGATTGTAAACATTCCACCTTGCTCCACATAGGCTTTAACTAAACTACAGTAAAACAGCTGCCAATTTTTTTTCTTTTGAGGTTTTCATCATATTATTTTATCCAAACAGAGGACACCTAAAAGTAAGAAACTGTTTATTACCTGTTAAGTTTTTGTTATTGCCATCGTATAAACTATTGTGTCCTTAGTCTTAGTTTTGGATTGTTCCTTCTCTTAAATCTTAATTTTTAGTGATTTATATCTGAAAACACAAGTTTCAAATGGAGAGAATATATTTGGTGACTGAGGAAAAATCCATCCTCTCTGACTATGCCTACTTCCATTGAACTAATCCAAATTTGTTAAATCTTGGAAAGTTTTTCCCCCCTGCCTCTCATTCACCTGTTTACCCCTGAGAGTTTTATGTCTCAAGGCGGATGTCATAATAGAACAAGGAAGTATGTTTTTCTTTTATGCTCAGGGGGTTTGTTTTACCTTTCAAAAAGTTGAGTTTTAAAAATTACTTTTCCACCTTTAAAATCAATGGAAATGTAGATTTTCTGGCTATAAAATATGATATATGTTTTTCAACTATGAAACATCTGTTAGATTGTGGAGTTCCTTTCTGTCTCTGATTTTAATCCCACAATTATTTTATTGTGTGGTAAATGTTGTAAAGGCTTGCAATGGTCATCATTGCAGGATTTGCAAACCTCAGCTCTGAGATGTTTTTATTAACCTGAAATTGATTAAGTGTATGTATTATGACAAGAAAGTGTTCTACCCCTCTTACATGAGTGCTCCAGAATATCTTTAAATATCTTGATTTAAGTGAGAAATTCAGTTGAAAGCTGGATGACAAATTGCAGTGACTAAGACAATTTATGTTCTTATGCATTGGAATGATTTAAGGTAAAATAAAATAAAAAGGTTGCTTAAAGGTTTGACAAAACTTTACAGTTTCTTTCTTAAAAGACTGACTAAAAGACCACATAAGGTTCTAAGTGTTATACCTTCAAGTTTGGGTTTTACTTCTGTCGAGTAAAAGGTTGTTACTCTTCTGTAATTAAAAAGACAATCTGTCCTTGCTGTTCCAGTGATTGTGGAACGTGACTGTATATCACTCTGTTATATGCATTGCTGTTGAAAACTATGATAAAATGTATGTGAATGACCTCTGCCTGCAGCATTCAAACACTATTTTTGTAGTAGTATACAAGAGAGTGAACCTGCTCTTTATATGAACCTGGGGAAGTATTTTGTACTTTGTTGTTAATTCACTTCACTGAGACATGCTGTACATTTTGTACATGCGAGCTGGCATATTTCTCAATGTGGAACAGTGTATCCCTCTCAAAAACAAGCTCTATGTAAAATGCTACAACAGTGTGGTCTTGAAACCATGACTTAGAGGTAGAGACACAACTTCAAAGTGTTTTGCATTTATACTGTAATCCTGTTTATAATCATTTCTGTTAGCAGGAATATAGTAACGTAGTGCTTATTCTGTGAATATCTGTATGTATTTTTACTATGTATGTACAGTACACTTTTATGGCTCATGTAGTAGGCATGCAACACCTTCACAGACAGAATTAAATTATTTAATGATAATGTATACACTTATACATGCACATAATCTTATAAAGTATTTAAACAAATAAACATTTTTGCTGTTAGCGATACCCGGTGGTATGAAAATTATCTTTCAATCCTTTCGTTTCCACAGCTTAAGAAATATTCCCAGTTTTGTAAGAAAAAAAAATATGAAAAAAGAAAATTATGAAGATGAACGTAACAACAAATAAGCAAAAATATGTTTCCCAATTACCTCTTGTTAATAAATCCATTTTATCTCAGGGTTATGTTGTTTCAAGTGTTTTTGTAGATCTAATAGTTCTGCACAAACAATTTTGTAATAAGGCTAAAATATATGAAGTGTCCGACAGGAAAACTAGGACTTATTGTCTTTGTTGAATATCAATTTAAAATTAAAAAGCAGGATTGCTTTTAGTGGAAGACTAAATTAGGTGAATCAGACTCCATAAAAATTATACAAAATATATAAACCTCAATCATCTACGCCAAAAATACTTGAAAACCAGATACTAGCTTGTATCTTTCTATTACAATGAAGCATAACATTAATACATTTCTATTTAATATTGTTTCAATTCAACCAAAAAATTATTTTTCTAAGACGCAATGAGACAGACAATTTCTAAAGACAACTTAGCAATGTAAAAAGAGTACCAATTTTGAAAAAGCATGTACCTGTTTTTCATTGACCCTGTTTGCATGTCATTTCTTTTTTCATGGTTTATATTTGCTATTGAGCACAAAGCATTTGTGAACTGAACAACCTCCTTAAAATTGCCCTAATCATTAGCTCCTTTCACAGGTTCTCCATCAGGTTAATATAAAACTAAATGGAGATTTGGACAGTTTTCCTAATTGGCCATCTTGAACCCAGAAACTTATGCTGGACTTTGGTGCTCTTTTAGTTGTTCATTTCATATTTAAAACGTTATGCTAAAGCATAGCATGGCAATGCTACTACAACTTCTCCAAATGAGCTATAGATCAGCAGCAGATTATATGTTAACCTGTGTGAGTTAGCTGAGCCTCTCCCTCTCCTCTTGTCTACTCCATAGTTACGACTGTGGCAGGAGGAGCTGTGTTTTTTTATTGGTGCCTTATTCCGACAACAAACTGACGTCACAAACTGCTGAACGTTTCATGTTACTTGTATAAGGCAGGACTTCACCTCGTGACTCCCTCAACTGTTTTCTGTCCACCTTTCCCTCCTGCTGGAGCGAACAACAAGTGAACATGACGAGGGTCTGGCTTCTGCTCAGCTTCGTGTCCTTAACTTCAGCTTTTTACTTGACTAAACGAGGTAAGACGTTCATACTTCAGCGGCTCTTATTGTTCGCTTTTGCAGAGTTTCGCTTTCAGTATACCAACTTGGTGTCAAGCTCTTTTTTACTGTTCATTTTCTGCACCCGACGCATTTTAATGCTCTATTATTTTTCAGACGAGTTTCATTTCAAATTATGGATGGCACAGGTGGGTCTGTTTACATTTTTCACTTCCTGCTGAAAGTTTTCTGTGTTCAGTGTTACACAGCAGTTACCTGTGGTGAAAAAAATCAGTGCAGCACTGACAGGAAACTTTCCATGTACAGTACAACAAAGCGTACGACTTCGAGGAGTATTACCAAAGACTACAAATATTCACAGAAAACAAGAGGAGGATTGACAAACATAATGAGGGGAATCACTCTTTCACAAGTAGGATGTTTTTTTTTTCCATTATTCTCATTAATTTTATTATTTGACACCCTTCTAAACTGTTTTTCTAATCTCTATAAAGTGGGACTCAACCAGTTTTCGGACATGACGTTCAAAGAGTTCCGAATGTCTTTCCTCTTGTCTGAGCCACAGGTAATGTCATTTCCACCAAACTTTGTTCACAAAGAACTTGTCTGTGGGATTTTCTGTCACAACATTAATTTAACCTGGAAGCCTATTGCAATTTGCAGAACTGCTCTGCCACTAAGGGGAACTATGTCAGCAGTAATGGACCACATCCAGACTCAATTGATTGGAGAGAGAAGGGAGATTATATAACACCAGTAAAGAATCAGGTAAAGTTAAATTCCTATGCTTACAATATAGCTTTTTATATATATATATCTTTTCCCATTTATATAGAAGTAGCGCACTTTGTACTTGCACAAAGTTTTGATACCTGCAAAGGAGACACTAACATGTAAAAACATAACTTTTCTTGAACACATGAACAACCCACATCTCCCATTACTGTCAAAATGTCCTGATATTTGGATATTTGGTGTCACATTGCATTTTAACATAACATGAAACTTTAAACTTAACAGAGGAGATTCTTACCTTTACTGTCCTTTATGTTTATTAATTATAATAGTAATTTCTAATTCTTGCACAATTTTGTTTTCTTTGTTATTTTGTGTGGTTTTTTTAAACAAATTATTTTTGAAGTGCGTTAATTATACATTGATTGCTCGATTGTAGATCAACCTCAAACTGAAATGGTACCAGAAGATAAGCTGCTTTAAGCGAATGACGCTCCAGCGTCACCTAGCTTTGCCTCTGACACAAGAATTCACAACGTAATCTAAGTTAAGCAAGGCAAACACAAGTCACAACTCTGAGATGAGATATATAGCTACTCCTTGTAATCACCATTGTTAGGGAATTGATTACTAGTGTTGAAATAGAATTTTAAAGTAGCACAATAGTACATAAGTTAACTTTTAGGTTAAGATAAACTTAGATACAAATCCAAACTGGGACAGCTGGTGACTCTCTGAACTTACATAAATTTCTAATCAGAAAGCAGTCTTATACTCCTTAAGGAACATTTCAGACAGGGAGTGTATTGGCTATCAGGGCAATAAATTCTTTACTCAGGGTTGAATAGTTCAGGCAAACACTAAGAACTATAGAAGTCTGTTACAACATATAATCAAACATATTGGTATATTTCTTTAAGCATTAAAAAGTATGTTTTTAATTAGTTAGTTTTAGATCCAAACTTATAGTCCTTATTTAGCATTACATTTTGTGCAAGCTTGGTTAAAAAAACACCAACTAGTTTCTTGTTAAAGCATCTTGAGGCAGAGATAACATTCCAGTTCCACGCTGTAAATCAGGTCGGAGCCTGGTACGAGAAGAGCTGGGGGTTTGGGTCTCAGAGGTAATAAAATTAACATTAAGACAGCCCACACAAAGGAAAAGAACACACCTCCTAATGCATATATTTAAATGAGGAGAATACACATTCTATAAAATGATTTGTTTTACAGCAGAAGTTGGAATCTCTTTGTGCTGAGTGAGAGTTTCCCGGAGGATGCATCTTCTGTTAATTTTTTGTCTTTTTACTCAGTTCATTGTCTCTGTTTTGTCATGTCTTGGACTTTTGATAATCTAGGTGAGATGCTTGTTGTAACATTCTGTATTGCATTGAATTCTTCGGATAAAACTCTGAATATCTGAAGTCTGACGTCGTATGATTGCTCTTTCTCCCTCGACACTTACACAGACACAAGAACCTAGGACAGAGGAATACATTAACGAGCTAAATCAAGTTATTCCTCTTTTTAATTCTTAACACTAGTCACTGATATCAGCTTGGAGTGGTTGCAGACTGACTTGAAGTCAAAACAATTCAGCTAATATGATGGGCTAATAAAACTTCCATCCCAAGATAATGAGACAGTTATTAAGAATGGGAATGGAAAATAAAAATAAAAAAGTGATGTTACTTCTAATAGAGCTCTCTGACTGTTCTCACCTGATGCAGTAGCACCCTGAATTTCACACTACCCATACAATACTCTTACAGTATACAAAATAGCAACACGTCCAAAACAACACCCACAAACATGACGCAAACTGATGTTCCACAATATGGTGTTCATTCTTCTTTATTTAGACCAGATTTGTAATACATACATAGCCCATAAATATCAGCTATGTACAATATGTGACATCAACTTTTTCTTATTTTTTTGGTTTGTTATTAATTATTACATTTCAGGGGGCCTGTGGAAGTTGCTGGACTTTTTCCACAACTGGCTGTTTGGAGTCCGTTACTGCTATCTCCACTGGGAAGCTTGTTCCTCTGGTGACATACTTTTATTTTGTTGCCAAAACCTATATTCTTGTGGCCAGAAATGACTGTAGTGATCTAATACTGACTCTTCTTGTATGATTCAGTCAGAACAGCAGCTGGTAGACTGCGCCCAGGATTTCAACAACCATGGATGTAATGGGTATGTGCTTGCATGTTTCCATCCCCTTTTAATGCTTTCCTTGCATCATCTATAATCGAGACCTGTATTTGTCCCCTAGCGGTCTTCCCAGTCAAGCATTTGAGTACATCATGTACAACAAGGGGCTGATGACAGAGAAGGATTACCCATACACATCTGTGGTAATTTTTCAGCCGTTCTAAATGCTGAATGTTAAAGGCGCCTTTAATGATATGATGTAACATTTTTTTCTTGGGTTATTTAAGGAGGGTCTATGTGTTTATAAGCCACCCATGGCTGCTGCTTTTGTGAAGGAAGTGAGGAACATAACAGCGGTAAGTGACAATTGGCATTATTTTAAAAAAATTATCTTTATGAAAGTGTAAGAAGGGAAAAGGTTTATTGTTGTTTCTCAGTACGACGAGATGGGAATGGTTGATGCTGTCGGCACTCTCAATCCTGTTAGTTTTGCCTTTGAGGTAACCGAAGACTTCATCCATTACCACCAGGGTGTGTATACCAGGTGAGAGCAAATGTAGACGTGGAAGTTGTTAAAACCTAATATGAAAAAACATATATATTTGTGTTTAAACTTTGTATGTTGAGATTTTTCTGTAATTATTGTAGATAAAAATTTGCATTTTAAATTTTCTCCCAAATGAGTAAAATGCAGAGCTAAATTCATACATCAATTCATATAAATTCTTAGTACTAAAACACAGGACTTTTATGCAAATATAAGTTATTTTGATAATTTCAGTTCCTCATTCCCTATACAATCAGTCATGAGTAAAAAGTCACATGTCACTTTTGGTCTGTTCCTGCTTCCAGCACTAAATGCCACAACACAACAGATAAGGTGAATCATGCTGTGCTAGCTGTTGGCTATGGACAAGAGAACGGTACCCCCTACTGGATAGTGAAGAACTCATGGGGACCTAATTGGGGCATAGACGGGTAAACCTCTTTTTTTAGTTACATAGTCCAGAAATATCAGTGCAGGCCTACAAAAATAACAACTTTTTGCCCTCACAGGTACTTCCGTATTGAAAGAGGAAAGAATATGTGTGGACTCGCTGCCTGCTCATCTTTTCCGGTGGTGTGATCTTATTTCATGGCATGTCTCACAAAATGACATGTCTCACAAAATAAAAGCACAATGAGCAAATTTTTTAACTATAGCAATAAAATGCATTCTCTATATTTGACTGAAGAGTTTTAATCTCTGTGAAGCCATTATTATGTGATGGATTGAATCATATTTAGATTTATGGGTAATTGTGATAACTGAGATAATTACATTGTTGTTTAATCTTTCATGCATCAAATTTAAAAATAAAATATTTTAAACTTTTGTTTAAATTTTTGTGTGTGTTTCTTTAACCAGTTTATTGGAGGTGGAAAGAACTTTCCCAGATATGACAGGAAATTAGTTTTTCAAAACTTACCAGTTTAGATGTTAGTGCATAATTGTAAGACATTACAGTTAAACATGCAGTGATGAATTTCTGCAAAGAAAGAAAATAAGATAAATCAGCGTACCTCCAATTGCCATGAACATGTTTTATTTTAGTTCAATTGAATCCAGGACCTTGGTAAGATATATAATGTCAGATCATGAAAATAATAACTAACTTTAGTAAAGATACCAATTGAATCATCCAAGATTTGAGACTGGCTGGCTTTTATCATACTAGTTGATAGCAGTTTGGTACATCCTGTCATGCAATTCATAGGGAGAGTACTTTTTCATATAGTGCCAAATTGGGTAACGTTTGTTGACATAGAATTTTAAGTTAGCACAATACTGCACAGGATAGCTTTGACACATATAAAATATAACATAGAAAGTTAAAGTACACTCTAGGTTCATATAAATTTAGATGAAACTAAAAACAACGGCTCAATCTCTGAAACGCAGATAAATTCTTAAAAGGAGGATCAGACAGAAGAAACAGAAAACATAGGCCTAGACTCCTTGGATCTCTTGAGATAAGGAGCCTGTATGCCAGGCAATTAACAAATTCCTGAGCATGGTTCAAAAGTTCACTAGGATCTTAAAACTTTTTATAAATAATTTTATCTATATTAGAATTAACTATATTTCTTTAGCATGTTTTTAAATAGTTACTTATTAGATCCAAACTTATAGTCATTATTTAGCATTACATTGTGTGCAAGCTTGGTTAAAATACAAACGACTTTTTTTGTGAAAAACAGCTTGGGGAAGAGATAGCGCTGCAGCTGCACTCTATATCAAACTGGACAGCGGCAGGTACGAAAAGAGCCGGGCCATATATCTGCCTTTGGGGCTCTTGAGCAGGAGGTAATAAAATTAACATTAAGACAGCCCACACAAAGGAAAAGAACACACCTCCTAATGCATATATTTAAATGATGAGATTACGCATTCTATAAAATGATTTGGTTTACAGCAGAAGTTCGAATCGCTTGGTGCTGAGTGAGTGGTTCCCAAAAATGCATTTTTGAATCAGGTAATATTCTGTTTTGTCATTGGGTGTTGGCTTTTTGATATATCTGAGTGTAAGTGGTGTTCTGTTATTCTGTATGTATTTGTATTCACCTTTGGATAAAGTTATGGATATCTGAAATCTGACGTTGTATGATTGGTCTATTCTCTCTGCACACTTACACAGACACAGGAATTCGGGACAAAGAATTAATTAATGAGCTAAATCAAGTTCTTCATCTTTTTAATTCTTAACACGTTTTTTTTCTGGATAAAAATAAAATATTTGAAAACTGCTTTTTGTGGATTGCTGTTGAATCAACTAAAAAACAGTGATTGTTTGCTGTCGCTAGACGATCATCCAGGAGGAATGTTGCAAGTCGATCACTCAATGCTACGTGCTAGATTTCCTTTGATAGAAAACTTCCTAGACTAATTTGAATAATAAAGTTTAATGCACTGTTAATAACTGGGATTCATTGGTATTTATGTGATTGAATTGAAATGAATTGTATCTTTTTTTCTGAAAAGTGGCTTCAGATGAGCTGCTGTGAATTGGTGCTAAATAAACTGAATTGATTTTCTAATTGAGAAGCTTATTTAAATCACCTTTTTATATAAGCCGGGTGAAAGATTTTTACATTTCAACCATCAATTGACATCACCTAGACCGGCTTTTCTTGAAATGTGTAATATCCAAATTTCTGAAAGTTATTTTAATAGTTGAAATTGGCTCTTATTTATTGCAGGGCTATAGTACACATCTAAAGACTGCATTTCCCAGAATGCTCTTTCGCGCTTATCTTCAGCCAATGGGGGTTCGTTTTATTGATTCGGCGCAAAATCCAGTGTTTAGTTGAGTTTCTGGGAGAGAGAAGCTCAAAAGTCTGCGCCACTTTAATGAACTTTAAGATTTGCAAACCAGCTGTTGGAAGAACTAAACGCACGTGCTACCGTCCGGTGTGGCGAGCAATGTTTAGGAAACTGAGTGCTACAGAAGTCTTGTAGCCCCTCAGCTAACATAGGTTACCTCAACTTCACAACAACAATGTCCAGTCTGCCTCAAAATAATCTGAAGGAACAGCTGGCGAGGCACAACAACGCTGCTAACAGCAAGCTGTCTCGGGCTAAACCTAAAACGGGGTAAGTGGTGTTCCTTTACAGCAAAAAGCGAAAAGAAAAAAAGCTAACAGACGCGAGCTATCAGCAGTGCTAGCTTGTATCATAGCAATCATTTCATTTTATTTTCTCGGAAAATGCATGCTTATCCGTTTTAAGCTATAGCAAAAGGGGTATTTAGAACTAGGTTTTCCCACTTTAAATTAAAACGTTAAAGTTGAGCTCAAGATAATAACAGTGAAGTTACCAATTTCTGGAGAGCTAAATCTACAGCTTCCACCAAAGCAATTACAAATTATATGTGCATGTGCTTTAGAAATACCTTAATCATTACAATGTATTTAAAAATCAACAGTCCCATAAAAGTGACAAAAATAAATCCTTAAAGCGCATTAACTATCAATAGGTCTGAAGATTGAAATTTAAAGAATTTAACACAACGAAAAACTGCATGAAAAACATTCCTAAAACGAAGAAGATAATTGTCTTTATATAGTTTTCAGTTCTTAAAGCTTGATTTACTTTTAAAAAAATGCATACGATATTCCCCTTGTATTTGTATCTGCTTTTTGAATTTATTATATGTTTGCATTTTCAGGGCTTTCTCGTTCAAAAAGAAATCTCCATCGGGTACAACTAAAGTGGAGTATCCAACAAAGGTAAACAGTCCAAACATTTTGGCAAGCAGGAACGTGAATGTGCAGGGGAACAGTTTGGTGACTGAATCTTCTTTAACATTTTCAAACAAGCTTGAAAGGACTCAGAAATCCAAAATCAACAACTTCTTCCCTCCAAGTACAAATTCCAAGTCCAATTTCAGCCTAGCAGGTAACTCCACTTCAGCATGCGAGCCACCTCCAGCAGATATTGGCGGTAAGGTGATTACTGCTCCTGCTAAACCCGACAACCAGTCCTCCTGTGGTGGGAAAGGAATCAGCTCCACCGGACTAGATCTATCTGATTTACCTGTTGACGACTGGGATGATTTTGAAGACTTTGAAACACCTACCAAAACAAAAAACGACTCCCTGTGCTCAGAGAAATCAGCACGGGTCACCAAGACAGTGTCATCTTCAGATGAAGAATTTCCAGAGTTCACTGGAAAACAAAGCCATGGTCATTTAAAATTGGAGATTAGCAAGAAGCACAGAGAACAATCTTGTATGGAGAAAGAAAAACCGGAACCCGATGTTGCTAAAACAACAGTCTCATTAGAACCTAGTTTAGTTGATGGACTTCCAGACGATGAAGTGGAAGATACTCCTATTAAAAGGACCAGAAAGCGCTGTCCTCCTCCACATGTGACATCTGTGCTGAGTGATAGTGATGAGGAGATCAGCATCATGTCTGAACCTTTAAAAGATAAAACAGGTAAATGGCGTTCTGGTTTATAACATTTGAATATGGACAGCCGATATACTCCTGATAAGAACTAAAATACAACGGTGACAGAGATGTTTTTTGTGCTTCTCAGATGAAAAGGCAAAACGGATTGATCCCAAAGTGATCAAACTAAATGACAACTCTGAACCTGAGGAAGATGTGGATTACATTCCTCCTTCACCTCCTCCTGATGAGTCTTTTTATAGGCCTTCTTCAGCAGAGACAAGGTGGGCAAGTATCATGTCACACAGCTATTGAAATAGAGTTCCTACTATAAAATTTGATTGGAAGATTTCCAAGGTTAGATAAGTAAAGAAAAATATTTCTGTCCATTCTTTATTTCATTTTCTTGTCTCCCCATATTTTTATCTTGACCATCTTTTCATATATTTACCAGTGTGCTTGTCAATCCATTTATTGATCCATGTTCATCCACTCTCATACATAAGATTGAGAATAGTTAATTTTAATATGATAAAGTAGGTAATTTCGACAACAAAGACATGTAGGAGCCCTGTTGCATTTTGTAATTTGATTGTGTTTAAACAAAAAGTTTTTCAGTTAAACACTGAAAAAAATATTGTAAGTTGCTTCAGTTTTTAAATGCTTCTTAGTTTTGAATACACTTTTTTGAGGAAAACAGAAAATGGTCATTTAAATCTACTTAATTATTGTTTTAGAGAATATTCTTACAGTACATACATTTAATCAAGATTCAGTTGTTGACTTTCTTTAGCCCTCTTATTGAATCCATTCATTTGTATGTGGAACAGACCTGAGGTCTCAAAATTCAGCAAAATGTATTTTTTCCTCTTTTTTTTATAGAAGAACTCACTCAGGCATTGTACAGAGCAGAGACAAACTTTTCCAATCAAACAGCCCTAACACAACTCTGCTTGAACCTTCTAATCACCCATCTTGTGACAAAACAAGTGAGTTTGATTTGCTTGCTTTTCTGTTGGCCTCTTCTGTTTCTTTATAGAGTTCTTGTACTCAGTTTTACCTCTTTCATTCCTGCAGAGGAGCAACTCTTCAGCATTATGGAGTCCATCTGTACTCTGGTTGATTCCATCCCCGAACATGAACTGATCGCATTGGCCTGTGGGAATGAACTTTTGCTAAAGAGGGCTCACAGGTTTGTTCACTTATACTCATCAGGAGATGTGCCAATGTCTTACTTGGTTGAATCCAAGTGTGACTGCAGTCATTCTCTGTTTCTTACAGGAAGAGGATTCTTGCTTGTGGGGTTGATTCTTTGCGTATGCCGCAGCCGGACAGCACAGTGATTTCTGACACCAGCTACAAAGAAACTTTTTCCAGTTGTAGTGCATCTAGTCTGATGTCCCCCAGCAACTCCCTCTTTTTGGACAACAAGCAACCTC